TGGTTCTTTCTTCTACTCATGAATTGCAACTACTTAGGAGCTTGTAAGCTTTCCCAGATTCACACCAATTCCCCAGTGGACTAAGCCTCAGCCCTACGTAATCTAAAGGATAAAAAAGATGGCTAAACAACTTGCCTATTCAAAATCCAATGCAAACAAACCCCTGATGAGGAACTTGGACAACAACATCTGAAGAGTTCACCTCAGGGGTGGTTGTCAGCACATATTAGAATTGATCTAGAAGAGTTTTTCAGCAGTTTTGGAGCAAAAAGTCATTTAAAAAAGATTATCAACAAACACAATCACTATGCTTAGTCACTGTGAAATCCAAGTCAAATGTAAGCAGCTGAGCAACTCAACAGGCGAGAGTAATTATTAAAAAGAGAGAGGAAAGAGGGGAGGGGAAAAAAGGAGGAAGGGAGGGAGGAGAAAGAAAATGAAAGAAAGGAAAAAGAAAAAAAAAACAAAAGCAAACTTTAAAAAAAATAGTGAGGGAGATCAAGAGAAAACATGTATTCCCAAGTGCAAATGCTGAGCTTTGAATCATACAGGCTCTACAACATCTCAGTAGCTTTCTGGTCTATGTTTCTATGTCTGTCTGTTTGTCTGTCTATCTCTCCCTCAAGCTTAAAACTATCATTTTTCAACCTGTTTTGACAGGTGGTCTTTTAATGGCTGTGTTCTCAACTCACTGCCCAAAGCTTCTACTGCTATCTGTTCTCCCCTTTCCTTCACTTACTTGAAGGTTTTCCATGTTTTCGTTTTAGATTCCATAGGAATGGCAACTGGTAAAGCTTTTCTCACCTCCTAAGAAAATTTCTTTCAAGGAAGCAACCCAGGGTGCTACTAATTGGCTTTGCATAACAGTAGGCAAAATTGGCCTTAAAGCAACTGTGACGCTGCTAGCCACCCCCAATACAAATCACCAAGATCAGATTCTCTGGAAACCTCTCATATGTTTCTATTACTAAATCTAAAAACTATATGCCTGTTTACACAAGGATCCTTGATGCTTTCCCAAACAACCTCATGATTCTTCTCATTTAGAAACTCACATCAATTTCGTGCAAACCCCAAACTGATGTTTCTAAGTGCTTCATTGAAGAATTTCAAAAATATTCATCATACACCAATTGGACTGATAAATCTAAGCTCTAAACATTTCCAAGAAAAAAGACAGAAAATGGACTTCTGGTATGTCTTGAAAATCAGTTGCCTCTAGGAATTTCCTGTACCATGCTCAAATTAGTTTTAATCCAGTAGTATATTATTTTGACTGACCTTGTACATATTTCTTAAAAGAATAGTTACAAAATGTTTTTGTTAAGTAGATCATTTTCATGATAAAAGTATTTTAAAAGAAAAAATGCTTGTCTTGGGTGTGGCACTCAGACAACTTGATTTTTTTAAAAACCAACATTTTTGGTACCGATGTATACATCTACACTGAGATGTGAAAGCAGCAGTTCCTGCTGATTTTACAATTCCTTTGGGTTATGTAATGCAAATCATTTTGCTGATAATAAGCCATAAGAAGTAGTATTTTGCTGTATTGACATGGCCTGGCCAAGAACAACAAGGAAAAGAAATAGCATTAAAAAAACTGGCAAAATGTTTATGAATTCTAATCCTCTGCACATGAATAAATACATCTGACAAAGTGCAGAGTCCCTCAAAGAGGCCCTTCTTGACCTTCCTAATTTGAGTTCAATGGCTTGTTCAATGTTGAGAAGCCAAAGTCGGTTTTGCCAATGTTTCAAGCTTAAGCTTTACTATACTGTGTTATTTGTAAAAGTGAAATCCCAGATAATAAGTTATAATTGCTCTATTAATCACTTGAAAAGGGGCTTTGGAGGAAAATTGAGATTTGAAATTGCGATAATTGGTATCTGAAAGACGTCTTTTAATTTTCTTACTTAGAGCTTACCACATAAACCTACGGTGAAAACTGCATGCATGCACTTTTTAAAATGGTGAGGTACATTCAATATGTCTTATATATTATTTTTTAAAGGAATGAAATTTAAAACTTCAATGTGGTCATGATGACATTTGACTTAGGAAAAAAAATACCCAAAACCAGGCCTTGGATTATAAATTATATTGTCAATGAATGTGAGAAGAACTCTTTGTTTCTTGAGTTGTTTCAAACATTACATTTTCATTTCCTTTTGTTCAAATGAATTATAATGTACAGCACACCTATTTTTCTCCATTTTTCATTTAAAAATCACTCTTTTTCTTAGCTTTGTTACTCTGTATGCTAATAGATCCAATACAACACAATTTATCTTTCATTGTTCAATATATCAACTCCATCTGTTACCCTTAAAGAAAATTGTGGGAAATCTATATTTTTGTTTCTATCCTTAAGAAACCTTAATAGAAAAAGATGGCCAACCAAAGAAACAAAATGGTGTTTAGGGTATTACAGTAACTAGATCACACTTAATATAAGACATCCAGAGAATTAAAGTTAATTAAATAGTCAGTATATCCTAAAGTAATCATTTCAGTTATTGTTTCCTGGAATTGCTACCAATCTTTACAATCATATATACAGGAGTTCATATCCATTTCCCTTTCTCTACCTCAGGCTTGAACATTCTAAAAAAAAAAAAAAGCAGAGAAAGACACACATTTCAAATTTTAGTCAGACAAATTATGAAAAATATGTGATGCCTAACAACTGAGTATGTTCTGAACTATAGTCATTTTCTTAAAGAAAGAAATCATAGGAGAGATGATTCTACTTCTCCTGGAAAGACTCTCTTGAAGGAACAGAGTTGGGTCAGGTTCAGAGATTATAAGAGCTAAAAGAGAGAATTTCATTTGAATGGGTATGTTTAAAGAGAGCCACTGAAATCTGTAATTTCCTTCCACATAGTTGGAAAAGTAGTTTACTTTTGTAGCTGGGTAATGTCTCTTTTTGGGCAGGTCAATCATCCATAGGGCCATAATCCACAATCTATTCCGATTTTCTCCACATCTGGTGTAAGCCTTTATAATACAAATATTAAAACCAGTCTGCTTCTCTGAAATGTTTCTGTAGTATTTAATATCCAATGAGTGATTTGAAAATATATGTGACTATGCAAAAAAATGTCTGGTGGGTAAGCACAGCAGCCCAATATTAACTGATAATATAGATACAGCATTTTTTGGACTCCTTCTTGCCACAAAAAAACCCCCCAACATTCTGTTTGACATTATTGGTTCATAAGAACCTCAGAAGGACTTACTTTTTAGAAAATCTTAGACACTTCAAATCGTGTGATATGACACGGTAGTCCATTGTTGATACTAGTCACTAGGTAATTACATCCTTTGGGTTATTTTATTGTACAAAATTATACAACAGAGTAAGGCAGTTGAGAAGTGCTCAAGTTTTCTCACTAATACTTATTTTCAAATTTAAAATGTGCATACTTATTTCAATAAACACTTAAAATAATCATGTTGAAGCACTATAAGTTTCCAAGATAATGATGACCAAAACCTTGTATGTTCAAAGCGTAGAAGCTACTTTTCTTTGGTAAAAATCAAAGGCAAAGGAATGTGTTATTGTTAAAAATAGCATGAATGATTTTTTAAAAAGAATTTTTTGTATACAAGAGGTGATCAAAAATACAGTGAAATGTTTAAAAAATTTTAAAAATATTACAGTAAAAGTCACATTTCCATTAATATTTTAAAAAATACTCTGCCTTGCTTCTAACACACTTATCCCAAGTTCTTGCCAGTTCCTGAGGCAGTTCTGGAAATCCTCTTTCGTGAGTGTCTTTACTGGGGGCTGATAAAAAATACAGTGAACACTGTTGCTGAGTGCCATCTACTGGAAAGGCAGGCTCATAAAAACATTATGGTGTCCTCATCCAATTTATTTGTTGGATCTGACGCTTTGGGATTTCTGGTTCTTCCCCAAAGTCAAAATGACTATGAAATGTAAATGTTTTGAATTGACTCAGGAAAGCTAGGCAGCCATGACAACATAACTAAAGACACACATACAAAAAGACTTCCAGAACTGCTTCAAAAATTGGCAAGAACGCTGCAGTGTGTTCAAAACAAGGGTAGATATTTTAAGGAGGATTAATAACAACATTTTTTACAATAATTGTGTTTATTTAAAGACACATCATATTTTTCAGTAACACCATATATGTTTATTTCATAAATCAAATCAGATTTCAAGTTCACAAAAGAGAGGCAAAAAAATACAATAGTCACAAAACTGCCATACATTCACTATGAAAAATAAGTGAATTGATAATATTGATGAATGCATGCAGACTTTGAGGTATGTGTTGAGTGCCTATTAATTGGTACAAAAAATTGTCATGATCTAAACATGAACCTCACAACAATTGGCTCTGAAACCTGCAGAGTGGTCAGAAAATTGCACTGTAATTTAGTTATGTAATGTGAAAGAGAAAAAGAATGACATTTGGCCATTTAGATTCAAGTTCAGATCTTAGATTTAACACATTCTGGCTGCACGACTTTCAAGAGTGTCTCAATCTTTTTGAGATTCCTTATCACCATCTGGAAGATTAAACAGTATCTATTTCTTAGTCTGGAAAATTCTTAAGTAATGACAAAAACAGTTCATCAATATTTTTGTGATGTTTTGTGTTTTGGATCTAACAAGCCTAAAAAAATTTTTTTTAGTTTAATTTCTTATCAAACATTTAAATGCTTATTTAATTGGGTCAGTAGACAAAACATTCTCATACCCAGTGGTTAGCTTTGATCACTTTTGAGCTATGTACAAAAACCTGATAGAAAAGAGTGATACATGGAGTCTATCTATATCTGGGAAAAATCTGTATCAGATAATGTAAGAACATACAAATTGTCTTACTGAAGGTGTGCCTAACTTTCTTAATGGTAAACACTGAGCTTTCTGAATACACGGAAATTTTAAAAGACTTAAAAAATACGCATGCACACATCCCTTGTCTTTTATCCCTACACTCTTTTGTACTTTGAAGTTTTACCTCATTTCCTAGCAGGGCATTGACACAGGCTTCTGAGGCATCACAAATGGCTGTGAGATCATGTCCTCCTTCGAGAGCCAACACCGCACGTCCATCAGCCAGTGTCATCAACTGCTTTGTCAAATGACCAAAGCCTAATATAACACAAACAGAACATTTCAAAGTATGAGAAAATGGCAGCTAAATTTAACAATCATTGAGCATTTATTCTTTGCAAGTTTTTTCACAGCACTTTTTGGTGCTAATCACTTAATATACATATAATAACTTTACAGGTTAGGTCCTCTTATCATCTCTACTTTACAGACAAGAGAAACGAAGACCAAGATTCCACAGCTAAGAAGCATCACATCCAAGAGAAGCACTGTCCATCTGGCTCTTCACTAGTGCACAGCACTGCCCCCATACCACATTCTGTATGCACCTATATTCAATCTTGAAATATTATTTAATGTTAACAAATATCCTATTTGGTGATCTTAAACTTCTCGTCTCCACCATTTGCCTTTACTGTACAATGAAGGGAAATTTTCTATACTTCATCTTTTATTACATTGCTATAATAGTAGATTTTAAATGCAAAAATATAAATAACATCTCTAAGTGTTATAAAACATAATGGTATGACAAACACCTCCTCACTCATCTTTAAACTTAAAAAAATAAAGTTAGCAAATTTTTGGACTTCTTTATATCTCTGACTGATAGCATCAGTCCTCCTCCCTGTGGGAAATCAAGACCCCAAGGTCATGCTTATAATTCCATTATTCTCCTTTGTTTAATTTGCTTGTTTTAAAACTTTATAAAAATGGTTTACCCTTTTGCAATTTCTCCTTCTCGGGCACTCTATTTGCTTACTTCTGTTGACTCATATAGTTATAATGCTTTGCTCTCTAGAATTTGTTATCCATTCTCCTACAGACAGATATTTGGTGTTTTTCTTACAAAAATTCCAGTTTTTTGTTATTTTGAACAATGTTTCAATGAATATTCTTATACAAGTCTTCTGGTGCACATATGCAAGAATGGAATGAAATTGTTGAGTTAAAATGTGCTAAATAATGCCAGATTATTTCCAAAGGGCTATTACTAGTCACCCTCTTAGATGCAATATATATAAGAATTCCAGTTTAGTCACATCCTTGCCAACCTTTGGTATAATTTGCTAAGTGGATGAATGAATAATGATATCTTATTGTAGTTTCATTCAGTATAAGAAGGGGGCTTTCTATTTCTAGTTTAAATCAGAGTTTTTATTTTAGACTTTGTTGAATTTAATCTAATTCTCTCTCTACGTACATGCTTTTTCCCTACAATTTAGTACCATTGTGAGTTACATTAATTAACATTCCTAATATTAAGCTATCATTGCATTTATAGAATAAAGTAAACTTGTTCATGATATATTATCTTTTTAATAAACAACTGGATTTGTGTTACTAATGCCTTGTTTAGGATTTTTTTCATCTATGTTCATGAATGGAGTTAATCTGTAATTTTTCATTCTTTTATTAACCATGTTGAATTTTGATGCACCTAGGACCCCCTTTTTTCATTGTCCAACCTAGAATGTGGGATAGACATTTGTAAAACCATGTGGGTGTTATGTTCTCTTTGAAGAGATTTTTAACTATTGATTGAATTTTCAAGGGATTATAGGGCTACTCATGCTTTCTATATCTTCCTGAGTTATATTTTTCTAGGAATTTATATCTTGTATGTAAGACTTTAGATTTATTGAAATAAAGTTGCTTATTAGCTCTTTTATCTCATTTTGGAACTCCGACTAGATATATGTGCTCAGTGTCACTCAGAGTTCCCTTAAATCTTCTAAATTCTCACTCATATTTTTCATTTCTTTCTGACCTGTATGACCTGTATGACCTGTATTATTATTATTATTATTATATTAATATATTATATTATATATATTATTTTATTATTATTATTATGTTTTTATTCAGATCTATCTTCCAGACTTTCTTTCTTCAGATGTCTTCAATGTGCTGTTTAGCACCTTTCCTGATATTCTCATTTTAATGATTATGAAATTTAATTGGAGAATTTCTATTTGAGAGTATTTTATGACTTTGTAGTCATTTTTTATAGTTTCTTACTCCTTGCAATTGTTTTCATTTTTTGCTTCTAGTTTATTCAGTGCAGTTATTTTATATTTTGTATCTAATATTTTAATTCTTTCAATTTAGTTCAGTCTTTGTCATTTCTCCTAATTTATCCCCACAGTTCTCTTTCTCCTCTGTTTATGTAGGTTTATTTTGTTTTTGTGTTTTGTATTTTGAGATTATATTCATTGCAACTTTATATATGAGAACAAGTTGAAGCCTGGTGCAATGGACTGAATGTTTGTATCTTCTTTGCCTCAAATGTATTTGTTGAAACCCTAACCTCCAATGTAATGGTGTTTAGAAGGGAGGGGTTTTGATAATAGTAATTAGTCACATTCTAGAAAATTAAAAAAAAATAGACAAGTACATAGTTTTGTTAATCTCATTGTTAAATATTCTAGAAAGATTTTCTGGAAATTTAGTAAATGTCACAGTGATAATTAAATATATATGTAATAATATATAATCAAGCCAGTATACAACCTTATTCATACTGAAGGTTCCTAGCAATTGAAAACTCAATGACCTAAAGTTACTACTGAGCAAGTCAAATCACATGTATTAAAGAAAACAATGAAAGAGAAATACTCAAATCTGATTTAAGTTCACCCTTTCCTCTAGGAATAAAAAAAGCCCCATAAAATACCAAATTTAGATGGGATAGTAAAAAGTGGAAGGAAAGAGTGGAATGAAGTTAAATCTTAGATCTCTATCCAAATTCCTCTTTCTTTTACCTACAGGGCGTATTTCCATTCACATGTTACCCATGTGATCTCTGGAGTCAGAGATTAAAGCTGCTGAACTCTGAGTTATGCATGCACAAAACATTCAAGTGAAGTAAAGAAATGAAATTTCTACAAAAACCATGACCTCTCTTCCAACCAAAATAGCATTTCAAGAATAATCTTTCAGTTTTATTATCCTAAGTTCTGCTATTTCCATTGCTACTGAACATATTAGAAACATCAGAAAGGCCAGCCCCATGTGGCAACTAATGTCAAAAGTAAGAGGTACAAGTTTTAGTGAAATGTGTGCCTGTGTGTGCATATCTACTGGGTTAAAGTTCATGTAACATTTTTTTAATAAGCAGGATCACAAATTTTATGCAATTGTATTTACTTCTAGCTTCACAAAAGGCCTAAAAGCTCATTGCAACTTGTCAAAGTAAACTTTACATAACATTTAGAGTTGAAAAGTTATCACAAAGACCTTCCTTGAAGAGTCCTAAGTATGAGTTCTGGTGGTTAAGGGATAAAATAAGAAGGAATGTCCACATAACGTGATGGCTCAAGCAAGCACTGGATGTGGAGGTGGAACTAAGTTCACAACATTCACGTGTACTTTAGTTCAGGAAGTGTGGAGGAAGGAGTGCAAACCTGAGGCAAGAACCTGGATGCTTGGGGCAACCACATGGCCAGGCTCGGGTTAGTAACTGGCTTTGGCTATACAATGATTGAAAATCAAACTCGGCAATTCTCCCTATTAGCTGTATTTACTATGACTGCATTCTGTAAGAAATTTTTTTTTTAAGGCAGATTTGACAACTTATACTCCTTTAGGCAATCTTAGAAACTGAGCCATTATTTAAATACTACCACTATCACCACCATTACTAAAGAACTCAAAATGTAGATTGGTTGTTTTAAAAAGAATTTTCTTAACATGAAATTATAAGCATAAGAAAGAAGCTACATTGCCAAAAAAAATTGTTTTGATAACCAAACACAGCTGAACTGGTAACTAGCAAGACGAAGACACTATTGAAGAAGAGAATTGGAAGGGCATTTTCAATTTAAAATCCTCTGTTTGGTTCTGTTAATTTCCAGAAGCAGATTTAATTTAATTTTCTTTTGCTTCTGAAAAGCCAACAAAATACAAACAAAATACACCAAATAAGTTGTAGAAATAGGAGTGATTTCAAGTTATCAGTTTTAGCTTATTTCTGATATGGTACAGGTCTTTGATATTGTGTCAGTATTTGTATTAGTTTGTATTAGTTTGCTTGAAATGAAAAGTTGTCCCAAGATGGCTCAAAGATTAAGCCTAATAACTAAGAAGACACCAAAGGATTCATCCGTCAAAATGACACGTCAAATGTTTCTCTATTCCCAAATAGTTCCAGGGAACAGTGGTAGTGAAGGGATATAGCCATAACTAGCTTCATTTTCATTTCCTTTAAGAGAAAAACCTAGTTTGAAAACCAAAATTAACACAGTTCATTGTGGAAAATATGGAAAATGATAGAAAAAATAAATAAAAATAATAAAAAACAAAAGCAAGATGATACTCTATGTGCTGTTATATTACTGTATTGCTTATTATTTAATAAACAAGTCCTAAAACAATTTTGTATCATAATAAATTCACAGCTTCATCATCAGAGATAGTCAATTCTGCTTTAGTGTATTTCATGCTTGTTTATATTTTCTACATAATGCAGAATCATATTTTAATTTTAAAAATTACTTGTACAAATGACAATATAATGAAAACATTTCTCATACTTTTACAATATCATTTTAATGATATTATAATATACCAGCCAATTCCATGGTTGTAGATATTTGTTTTAAATTTTCAGTTTTATGTATAAGATTGAAAATAATAGCTTCATATATAATAAAATAAACCTTATATGCAAGAATTTATCTGATTCTAGTGCTATTATGTATTTTTGAAGGATGGAAAGAACCTTGCTCTTCAGATTGCTGACTTGTCTTTTGTACCACAGTGTAGGACAGGACATCAGTGGGAAAGCATGTAAATGCAAAATGGGAACAAAGTGTAGCCCACACTTTACAAGTCTTATTCATATATACATATATATATATATATATATATATATATGTATATATATATATATATGTGTGTGTGTGTGTGTTTGACAATGTCTGTTGTAGATAACTATAATATTCTTATAGAAGGTCAGAGAAATAAGAGAGATTCCTGGAATGACATTTTATTATGAAATTGCAAATACTGTACTATTAAAAGCCTCTGAGGAGGTC